TGAAAATATCGGTTATATTGACCTTATTGAATTATTCCGATTTATTTCAAAGTTAAGAAATGAAAATAATGTAATTGTAATTTTTGGCGGAAAAAGAATGCCTACTTCACTAAGATGTGATTCTAGTTGGAGTTGTAACACCCCCCCACCCCCACCCCCACCCCTTCCCCTCAAAAAAACATAAAAGAAAGGAAGGATAAAATAAAATCGGGTAGTTACACTAATATTGCTCCTACGATCATGAGCTTTTTGCTTCCGTTGAGATGGCCAGAGACATAAATAACATATAATAAATGTGTCTCCGAGATGGCGAATGATTATCCACGTGGCCACAATATCACATTTGCATGGATAAACTCAGAAACGATAATGCAAATACGTGTAAATTTTCATTGGAAATTTGCTATATATTCTGTTCACATATATTTATGATTTCTTATTAGAGAAATTATAAAATAACAAATATATATCTACTTAGTAGTTACTTTTGTCTTCTCTGATTTGAACACCGTGATTTAGCGTGAATGTAATGCGCACGCGCAAGATTGTAAAATCCGAAAAATCCAGATGATTTCCGGAATTTTTTGAGGATTTTTCGTTGATTATTAATTAGCGAAGCTAAATTGAGAAAAAATAAAAACAAATTGGTAATCTTCAAGTACCAATGATGTTTAAAATATATAATACAAAAGACAGTACTCTTCCGATTTATCTGTATTAAAGGCCAAAAATTCGAGTCTATTATTTTAATATAGTAGTATAGATTTTCTAAAATTCTTTTTTTTTGTCTTAAAGTGTAAAAAATACAGGTAAATCTGAGGAGCTATGTAATTAACCTAATTGCTATAAAATCAAATTTATTATCAGAACACTTATTGTTCTTTGGGTACATACCTCTAATTATTTTTAGAATCGGTAGGAGAAGAAAGTAATGCAGAAAAAATTACTTATTACAATTTCCTTAATTTGCAGACCTGAATAAAAAAAACTGTGATAAGGTATTAAACTGAGCCTCATACTTGTTGATAAGAAGTATGTTCCCTTGCAAAAAAGCTTGGCAGATGTAATTTATCAAGAAGATCAGCAGAATTATTTATAATGTATTATAACACCAGTGAGAAGTCTTGAATTCCCCTACTTTCACTTTCATTTTCAGAGGTTGACGAGACAGACGCATTTTGCCGGAAAACGAATCTGACATGCCACCTCGAGATTTTAACCAAGGAAAGACAACTAGATGCTTTGATTTGAGGGGTCACTCAGTGCTGAACGAAAATTAGGGACATTGCTATGTGAAGAAACGTTAACATTGCCACCTATGGGAAAACAATTAGTGGGCTGTACCCATTTGTTTGCAAGTGTTTGTTTGTTTGTTTTATTTGAACCAGAGACATTACATCTCATAGGTATACAAAATATGTACATAAATATTTATACATAAGATTTGCACAGGATAAGTGTAGTATATGCTATACAATATACATTACATGTGGCAATTACATAAACAATAGCATTTAATGTATTATCACTTCTTATTGTACACTATTTAAAACATCATTTCTTAATTGATGAGAAAAATACAGAAATTTACCTAGGCTACATAGTTCTTTAGTATTTGTGGAACTCAGTAACTGTACTAATTTAAAAACTGATGGTTTTTTAAAATAATAACTCTTGATATATTTAATTCTTAGTTCTTCATATCGAGGACATTTTAACACAAAGTGAAATTCGTCCTCTATCTCATTTGATATACATATTTCACATTTTCTATCTTTTCTTTTTATGTTACAATACCTTCCCCTCTCTATCTTTAAATCATGCGCTGATAGTCTTAAACGACGAATAGGTATTCTATACTTTGAATGTAATGGTTTACTTAAATACGTCTGTAGTACAACATTATCCACTACATGTTGATATAAAAAATATTTAGGAGAATTACAAATTCTTGCCATAATATCTTGTTTATAACCGTCATACATTCTTTGAAATACGATGTTTAAAGAATTATTATCAATACAATTGCTATTATACATGTCAGTTAAACCAAGCCTTTGAAATTCCTTCTTAATGTTTACAATCCATTCATCATTATTTTCCACCATATCTTGATAACATGATTGTAAAATACAATTATCACTGTTTTTTAATTTCACCCAATATTTCAAAATTTTCTTTTTCCTTTCTAGTATAAGTGGAAATCTACCTAATTCACAATAAACTGCATCATTACTGGTGCTTTGTCTGACTTTTAAAATCTTTTACAATAAGTTAAGTGAACATTTTCTATATCTTGACCCTTGTGAAACCCCCATACTTCAGCTCCATAACTCATTACACTGTTAATATAGGTATCGAATACTGCTAATTGTGTTTCTACGTTAAAATGCAAATCCCTGGTTTTACTATTTACACCATACATAGCTTTTTTACCCTGACATGAAAAATGTTTCTGTGTTTCAGCAAATTTGCCATTATAATTGAACAACATTCCTAGATAATTAAATTGATTAACAGCTTCAACAATGCAACCGTTGTATATCCAACGTTCATTTTCAAGGATTTTACGACTATTGCGAAAAATTAATATTTTTGTTTTTTCAACATTTACAGTTAAATTCCACTCTGTGGTGTACGTATACAATGCATCCAACATTCTTTGTAAACCATCAGCAGAGTCAGATATTAAAACAGTATCATCTGCATACATCAGTAAAAATATATTTATCATCTGCAGTTCAATTGATGGACAATTATTTGTAATAAAGTGACGTTCAAAGTCATTCAAATACATAGGAAATAACAATGGTGATAAAAAATCTCCTTGTAACACACCAGACGTATTTTAAAATACTCTGTAAGTAATAGTTTTACTGTAAGTAAAAGTGGGAATAGTTTCAACCTATTAAGCGGTTAGTCGTATCAAGATGCGCATGAATTTTATTTTTTCAAGTAAGCTACATGTATTTTCATATAAAAGTAGACTAAAAAAGACGATAGTAATATTCTCTGTATACTTAATCAGAAAACTATACATATTTTTTTCAATTGAAAATCAGCAGTGAAAAATTAAGAAAACAGTAAACATGCATGAAAAATCGGAGACATTCGTAATTTCACACAAAGTGTGCTACAACAAGTCTGCTTAGTCTTGCAAATTTATTGTGCCTCCTCCTGAGAGGGTGAAATACTGAAAACAAATAACAAAAAATACATAAGTATGAATTCCCATGAAAATACAACTGAATGACAGTTATGAACCATATTCAATCCTAACATGCCAATCCAAATTTTACACTATACCAAAATTAAAAAATAGATGAAAATGAAGGTTTTACACATTAGCAAGCAGTAGTTTTAAATCTAACAATCTAACTTAACAACATATCAATGCAAACACACCTGATATTATGCACACGGTAAGTATCAATGAAATTAATCAAAGATTTGATACGCAAAAGGTAATGGACATATCCATGTTTTATACTTGGCCTGAGCCAATCATCAACACGTGTATAGAGTAATAAGTAAATATGCACAAAATCTGACTTAAAAACTCTATAAAACCAATAAGATACATCATGAACAGTGTGATTAACATTAAGCAATAGATAAAACTCACTCTATGGCTCTTCATAGCTCGGAAAACTGAAAAACATACAAGGTGTCGTTTACCGGGAAATGCATAAATTCTAAACTAAGAAACCAACAATTGTGAACAAGCAAAATAGAAAAATCCGGAATTACAATTCCATCACACTCCCCTACTGATTTCTATCAGAAATCATCAAATAAATGAAATGAACATTAGGTGACGCACATAAGGGTGTATCGTCAACAATATAAAATTCAGTTAAAAGGCTACATGGACTTATGAATATACTGCATTATTACATCTAAATGTACATGGCTTACAGTTTATATTCATCAATTAAGCTGTAATAATTACAGTTTGAGACAACTCTAAATCACTTCAACCAGTCTTACTAGCTGGCACACTGGGCGCACATAGGACACTTTGGAGTCATTGCGAACCACAGTCACCTTCACCTTACGAGTCTTGGAATCTTTGCTGTGATATGTTTCCTCCACCACTCCTAATGGCCACTGACTTCTGTGGGATTCTTCATCTTTAACAAGAACAACATCTCCTTCTTTAAATTGTTCACCTTCACTGAACCACTTTGCACGTTTCTGTAATGCATTCAGATATTCTGCCTTCCATCTTGACCAGAATTCATCAGCTAAGTGTTGGACTAACTTCCACTGGCTGCGCAGAGCATCCTTGTTCCCAAACTTGGGTAATTGAAATGTGATGTCTGGTCGTTTCTGTGTCAGCAACAATGATGGTGAAAGGACAGCTGGTGCCTCAGGATCTGAGGAGACTGGAACAAGTGGTCTACTGTTCACAATGGCACAGGCTTCCGCCATGAAGGTTGACAAAACTTCATGTGTCAAGTCAAAGGATTTGTTCTCTAGGAGAAGAGCATCCAAAATGCGTCGAACCGACCCAATCATCCTCTCCCATACACCCCCGAAGTGGGATGCATGGGGAGGATTAAACACCCATGCTATTTTACTTTCAGTCAGGTAATCCTTTACTGGTCCAGTTTCGACAAACTCTGCATCAATGTTGAGTTCTTTAACAGCCCCTATAAAATTTGTCCCTCGATCAGACCGAATCTGCTGGATGGGACCTCGTAACGCTATGAATCTACGCATGCAATTAATGAATGAGGCCGAACTGATCTCCTCTACAAGTTCCACATGAACTCCACGAGACACTAAACAGGTAAATAACACACCCCATCTCTTTGAATTAGCTGAACCGCCCCGTGTTCTCCTTGTTACAACTGACCAGGGTCCAAAGACGTCTAAACCAACAAATGTGAATGGCGGAGCTTCTTGCAGTCGATCCTCTGGTAAGTCTGCCATCTGAACCCATCCAAACTTCCCACGAAGTTTTCTACAAGTAATGCAGTGGTGGATCTCAAAGATCAAAAAGATCGTATAACCCCTTCTGTCATTTGCCTGCCCTGGTGGTGTATCTTGGAGTGATAATGACGTATTATCAGAACAGCAACATGATGGTTCTTTGGAATTATAATGGGATGGGCTGTATGCTGATCACCACCCGGCTTGACTTGTTTACGACGGATACGTCCACCGACACGAAGGAGACCATCAACACCCAAGATAGGATTCAAGGGTAAGAGGGGACTGTTCTTTGGGGGATCACTGCCATTTCTAATGGCCTTGATTTCTGCACCGTAAGTTTCTAACTGCGCTTCTTTGATGATGAGTTTTTCTGTAGACTCAAGCAAATTGGTGTCATCAATGACCTGAGAGGCACATGTTTTCCTGGCAAGCATCTTCAAAGTCATTATGGCTCTCACTAAACTTTTCCATGTTGAGAAACGTGAAAAGCGTTTCGAACCTAATACTGGCTCAAGCACTGTCTTAGCAGTTGATACTTCTTTCTTTATCTCTTTATCAATCTCAGCATCAATAAGAGGAAAGTGTTCATTCACATCATCAACCTTGACACTTCGTAAAAAGTCTGGTCCTCTTAACCACATGCTGTCTGAGAGATCTGAAGTTCTAAACTTGCGAGTGGCGCCATCTGCAGGATTGTCCTCTGTGGGTACGTGATTCCACTGTTCTGGTCCACAGAATGATCTGATGCGACTGACTCTGTTAGCTACATAAACATGAAATCTTCTAGTTTCTGCTGATATGTATCCAAGCACCACACGACTATCAGAGTAGAAATGGAAATCTTCTTTCTTGAGATCCAGTTGTTCTTTGGCCACTTCAGCCAACTCAACAGCAACCACAGCAGCACACAACTCTAAACGTGGTATAGTATGGCCATGACTGGGTGCTACCTTTGCTTTTCCAAGCAAGAATCCTACATCAGATGAATCTTCTCCTATAGTCTTGATGTACACCACAGCAGCGATAGCATCCTTAGAGGCATCACAGAATATGTGGACTTCAGTACTAGGAACCTGGGATAATGAAAGTCTTCCATACATCCTTGGGACCTCAACCTCTTCTAACTGACGAAGCAATTTCACCCAGTTTTCCCATTGCTCACGAAAGGATTCTGGAAGTGGTTCATCCCATTTGGTGGGACCTGGAGGCGACATCATCTCACGAAGAAGCATTTTACCTCTGAGTGTGACAGGTGAGACAAAACCCAGAGGATCGAATAAACTGTTTATTGTTGACAGTACTCCTCTACGAGTGTAGGGCTTTGTTTCTTTTGAAACTTGAAAGGTGATCTTGTCAGATTCGATATTCCAAACCACACCAAGAGTCCTCTGCACTGGCATAACCTCCGAACCAAAATCCATGCTCTTTAAGTCCTTAGCAAGGTCATCTTGGTCAAATTGGCTGAGAACTGACTTGGAATTAGATGCTATCTTATGGAGACGCAACATTCCTCCTTCCCTTAGTGCTTTCTGGGTCTGCTTCATCAGACTTACAGCCTTCTCCTCAGTGTCACAGCTAGTGAGCCCATCATCTACATAGAAATCATGAAATACAAAGTTCTTGACATCTGGTTCAGCATCAACAACAGATCGACGTAAACCATATGTGGCCACTGCAGGGGAAGGGGAGTTCCCAAAAACATGCACTCTCATCTGGAACTCATCTAAGGGCTTTTCAAAGTCGTTCCCCTGGTGCCATAAGAAGCGTAAGTAGTTGCGGTCTGGCTCATCAACTCGGAAATTATGAAACATTTGTTCCACGTCTGCTGTAATGGCAACAGCATTCTGACGGAAACGAAGCAGAATGCCTTGTAAACTGTTTGAGAGATCTGGTCCCTTCATTAATACATCATTCAATGATAACCCTTCGTGACGAGCCGAGGAATCAAATACTACTCTTATGGAGTTGGGTTTTTTAGGGTGGTACACCCCGAACATGGGGAGGTACCAACACTCTTGTCCTTGGGGAATGGTCAATGCCTTCTCAGCATGTCCATGCATGAAGATTTTGTCCATAAATTCCAGTACGTGCTGACGTTTTAATGGGTCACGTTGAAGACTGGAATCAAACGACTTTGCACGCTTCACAGCTTGTGCTCTGTTGCTAGGTAGAACTGGTCGATCCTGTCGAAAGGGAAGTGGTGCTGACCAATGCCCATCCTCCTCCTTCTTCATGCCAGATTCCATCAAATGAAGGAAGGCTTTATCCTCAAAGGAGAGTCCAGTTTTTTCGTCATGTTCTGTTTTCACAAATGGGTCAGCAATATGAAACTTACGATCACATGGTTCGAATATAGATGGTCTACCATTTTGTAGTATGAATGTCTTATTCACGTTTATAACATTTGTGTGGTGCAAATTTCCCATACAAACTTGTCCAATAATGACCCAACCAAGAGGGAGCCTTTGGGCTATTGGAAGGTCACTCTCACTGAGTTTCTGGTCCAGAACATGGTGTGCTGAGACAACATCTCTTCCTATAAGAAGTTCAATATCAACATCATCCATCACAGTAGGTATGAATGAAGCAATTTCTTGAAGGTGAGGGTACTGCTGTGCAACAGCAGGGAACGGAATTTCGTCTCTGTTATTGGGTATGTCGTTGCACTCAATGACGACTGGTAGCTCGAACTTGCATGTCAAATCCAACGACTCGATCACATAACCATGACCCCTTCTTCCTGAAGTAGTAAGTCTTCCTGCACATGAAGACAGTATGTACTGATATTTGGAACTTCCTGGTGAAAAGAAGTCAAAGAATGGCGATGTTGCTAATGAATGGCTGCTCTGGTCATCAATGAGAGCATACACAACTCGACACTTCTGTGGATCATCCTTTAGATATACTCTAACTGGTATAATCTTAGCACAGGACCTGCTAGTACCCCTTGGTTTTCCACAAACTTTAGTGCAAGCATTCTTCACTGTTCCTTCTGGTGAGGGCTCCCCTACGTGGCAATCCACATCCGCATGAAGTGCACTTGGATGTGAAGATTTTTTACAGACGTCACATTTCACATTTGTCTTACAGTTCATAGCTCTGTGCTTCTTAGGTCCACAGCACTTAAAACATATGCCATTGGAAAGTATGAACTTTTTGCGCTCTTCAAGGGGCTTCCTGCGGAAAGCTGAGCATTCGTTGAGTAAATGCTTTGTTTTGTGTAATGGACACAATTGTGAATCGTTTAGATTGGTAGTGTTACTTGTAGTCTCAGTCTTCTTGACAACCACAGTTGATGTTTTCTTTGACACACTCGAACTTGAACTCGTCCTTTCTGTGCGGTCGAACTGGAAACTTGGGTCATTCCGAGTCTTGGCCGTGTCTTGTATAAACTTGACAAATATCGAGAAGGGTGGAAAGGTGCTTCCCTGTTGCCGTTTGAATCTACTAGCTTCTGTCACCCACTTCTCCTGTAGGTTCCAAGGTAACTTTGATGCAATCGGGTTTATCCCGGTAGAAGAATCAAAATAACCAAAGAGAACATGGTATTGTGGTTGTTCCTTCACAGATGCTATCTCACTAACTAGATCAGCTAGGTCGAATAGACGTTTGTTGTCATTGGTGGTGATTCTAGGGAAAGAAGTAATGCGCTCTTTCAGACTCCTTTCCACCATCTCCGGTGAACCAAATCTCTCCTCAAGCCTCTCCCATATTTTCCTTACAGCTAGTGCTGAATTGTCTGCATTACATGCACGAATGGTGCTAGCTTGTCTGGACGATGCTGGACCCAACCATCTAACCAAAAGGTCCAGTTCTTCAGTTGATGTAGTGTCTAACTCTTTCATGATCCCTTCGAAGTTTAACTTCCATGCAACATAGAACATTGGGTTATCGTCATACTTGGTAAGTCGTGACAAAAGTAAGTCTTTTTTCACTAAGAACTTGGTAAACTCCGTCATCTGGTTACATGTATTTGTTGACGATGAATCACACGTTGGATCTCCAACGGCAGGGGTATTATGTATATTGTTAGAATTCTCAACGTGCAGAGGGGATGACGTGATCATCTGAACTCTGTGAGGTGGAGGTCTAATAGGGGTGAAAGAAGGAGCATCTGGGTCCAGGTGAGTTTGTCTGCAATGTGCATCACTGTTGTTGTTTACTTGTTCTGTGTCTTGAACAAAATCTCTGACTTCCTTGACCACATTAGGAGGAGCATCATTCTGTTGAACTTGCGTAAGCTGTGGGTGAGGAAGATTCTTCACATATTCTTCCGTGCGTAACTTTCCCGGTAAACGACACCTTGTATGTTTTTCAGTTTCCGAGCTATGAAGAGCCATAGATATTTCACTGTGCTACAACAAGTCTGCTTAGTCTTGCAAATTTATTGTGCCTCCTCCTGAGAGGGTGAAATACTGAAAACAAATAACAAAGATACATAAGTATGAATTCCCATGAAAATACAACTGAATGACAGTTATGAACCATATTCAATCCTAACATGCCAATCCAAATTTTACACTATACCAAAATTAAAAAATAGATGAAAATGAAGGTTTTACACATTAGCAAGCAGTAGTTTTAAATCTAACAATCTAACTTAACAACATATCAATGCAAACACACCTGATATTATGCACACGGTAAGTATCAATGAAATTAATCAAAGATTTGATACGCAAAAGGTAATGGACATATCCATGTTTTATACTTGGCCTGAGCCAATCATCAACACGTGTATAGAGTAATAAGTAAATATGCACAAAATCTGACTTAAAAACTCTATAAAACCAATAAGATACATCATGAACAGTGTGATTAACATTAAGCAATAGATAAAACTCACTCTATGGCTCTTCATAGCTCGGAAAACTGAAAAACATACAAGGTGTCGTTTACCGGGAAATGCATAAATTCTAAACTAAGAAACCAACAATTGTGAACAAGCAAAATAGAAAAATCCGGAATTACAATTCCATCACACAAAGTCATTCTGCATTGTCACTATATAATCAGAACTAAATCTGAACTGTCTCTTAATCTATGGATACAATGTTTGTTTAATATAATTTGATAGATAACTGCAAAGTTTAGACGGGGTTAGATAATCACATTATAAGCAGTACACAGTACTCCGCGGTTATTTAATTAATATCATTTATGAAATAAAGCGCGGACTGGGTAACGACATGGTGTTTATATAGTAATTAACTGAACAATTACATGTCCTTCAGACGTTTGAAAACGCTAACTTATGAACGTTAATGCAGAAGTTTGTAAAATTGAATTTTAAAGAATTTTCGTTGAAATTTACACATGTTTTTTCGACTATTACAAATTGCCATCCCTAATGTAAACCATGGTATGAGCGAACACAATACAATTTCCAAAGAACGTTCAACAGACGAACACGCTTTTTTTCAAAATAAGATTTGAACGCAATATCTGCATACGCAGATCGAGGAATTTTAAAAAAAAAAGAGGGTTCTGACTGTGAGTCTTATTACATTCTACTATTAGTAAATGACTCTCCTTACCATTTTACGAGGGTGCTATGTTTCACAGACGGAGGGATAGGGAACAAAGGCCATTTTTATTACTTTACATACAAATTTGATAACCTGAAAATCCCTCCTCCCGCCCCTTTAGATCTGCGAATGTCTTTGACTGCGAGTCTAATTACTAGTAGTATATATTATAAGGGCCATCGGATTTACAATGAATATACTAGCTATGGAGGCCCGTTGACAAATGAAAAAAAGCTCAGTTAATGCACACTTTATTCTGATGGAACCGATTTGTATCGTTTGAATGAAATAAATCACAAATCTGTAAGATGTCACTTCTGCAGTTAATCCTAAATACATTTATGGTATTTGTTTCGGGAATACAGAACAAAATTAGCAATTTTTCAAGATATTCCTAATTTAAAATCAAGGTACCATCAACATTATCAGAGGTTTTCGAAAATCGTATCCTTCAAAGAAAAATGTACAAAATCACCAAACACGTATTTTAGTTGGTATTTCCTAAAACTTTGTTTAGGAGGGGGATTACAACATCATATAAAGACATTATAAGAGTTGCACACAGGTACATGTATTATAAACATTGAGACTCTTAAGCTACAGGGAATACGAAGGGCGTGTGCCCTTTCATAGATAATGCAATACCATATTTCGTATTTTGCATATTTAATGAAATCTTTAAAACTACACACAATAACAATTTAAACTTATATAGAGTATCAAATCAAAATAAATAATAATTGGAAATATACTTAAGTCAAACGGTATCCATTTTATAAAAATTTTCATTTAAAATGTGAATGCAACACAACTTACACCACGAAAATTAAATCTTATTCTTAATTTATACATTAATAATCATCAATTATATTAATGTGATATATTTGCTGCATAAATATATACGATTTGTTCCCTGTCATATCATAAAACATGTATATAAGAAAAAAAAATGACCTAAAATAGATATACCTCAATGTGTCTCTATTGTTCCATTTTTAATCTGTAAATCACGTAACGTGATCGAAAAGTAAACACCAAAAGTTATATTATAGATGGATTAAAGTTACATAAAATCACATTTTCAATGATTTTCATCGTTGGCCAGAAAACAACAATCATCATTGAATTTTAAGAAACATTCCCCATGTCCGGGGTGGGGGTGGGGAATCCAAACTTCGTGGGGCACAGTCTAGTTCGCCATCTTTTTCTTTGTCGTCACACTTGCACTGATTAGAATTCTTTATCGATAAACGGCATTCCGGACATTGTGGTTCGTCACTGGTATCGACGAAAAAACCAATGCTGTAGATATGGCCTGTAATGTTATATCAGACAATGAGTCATTTAACAGATGGCCAATTACTGGTCCTTATAATTAATAAGAAATTTCGTTTTTATTTAGTATATTAGAAAAGTTATTTACTGCCAATCAGTCTAATAATTTGATAATTTAATTACCATGAATTGTTAAAAGAATTTATTTGATTTACTTACTTTTTGTACATTTGTACCATTGGCCTTGCTTTGTGCACGCTACATTTTTCAAATTGATTCTTCGCTCTCCATCAGAAATCCACGAACAAGAAATAGCCTCTTTTCTCCTCAACTCATCAAACAACAACTTTGCTCTTACTATGTCATCCAATTCAAAGGTTCTCCCATCTATACATTTCAGTTGGATTATTTGACACTCAAGAAGTTCTTTGTCAGTTTGAGTAATGTTTTTTAAACCATTGCCGTCAAAATCACGTTTCATTAAAATCAAATCTGAATATAACAAGCATCTCTCCACCTCATTTGCAAATTGCCTAAGTTCACCATCTGTAAACATAATGTTGGAATGACAACGAATCCATTTTACTATGACTGAATATGCTTCTTTTATTTCAGGCGGAGGTTCTCTTGATGCTTTTTGAAGCTCTCTCAATCTTGGCCTTGCTTTTGAAATAAAATAGGTGAGTAATGTTCGAACAAAAACATTCTCACACTTTTTGGGCATCAGACTTTCGATGCATTTTTTAACAAAGATCGGGACGCGAGTTGTCATCTCTTGGAATGATTCAATGTTCCAATATTTGCTATGAAACATATTAATCTCTCCCTTTTCAATTTTTCTTTTCACACCTTCAAGGTCACGAAATATTTGGTTGTTGATATTTCTGTACCTATTGCTTCTCTTTATAGGAGTGGAACATTTCGGACACTTTTTTAAAACAACTTGCCTTTCTTTGTTAGACTCATCAGAAGACTCAAACTGCATGTGTCTATCCATAGCGTCCAGATCAAATATGTGCCCACAGTCTACAAGCTCGATAAAAAGCGCTTTTTCGTTTTGTTTCGATTCAGAGAACATTTCTTGTAGTTGATCCTTGTTGCATCGTTTGCAGAATCTAGGGCATGTCTCCCCACATATGCCGGAGCACCTGTGTCGAAAATTGCAGTCTTTTAAAGTCTTCTTGCAGCGGTTGCTGCACGGAGGCCTATTACAATCCTCAAAGCACTGTTTAGAACACTTGAACGAATTTTTGCATTCCCTATTACATTTCCAATTACACTTCTCCGTACATGGCTCACATGTTTCACCACACAAACGGGGACACCCCTCTCTATGTTCACACATTCTTTCGCACTTTTGGGTACAGGGAGGACACATTCTCGAACAAGGATGAATAATTTTACAATCATGCCCGCATATTAACACTCGTGAGCACGACTGCTTACAAGGGATATGTAATCGTCCATTTGAACAACTATAGCAACTTCCCTGACAGTAGTGACCACAAGAAAGAGATTCCCGACATTCCTTTTGACAAGGAAAGTTATTCTTTGTAGAACATTTTATCATTGATTCATGACTACAGTTTGGATGTGTAACTTTTATCACAATCTCACAAGGAGGACACAAGCTCGAACAGGGATGACCGAGTTCACAATCATGCCCACATACAAACTTTCGAGAGCACACTTGTTTGCAAGGAATATGTGATTTTCCATTAGAACATCTATGACAGTTACCCTGACAAGAATGACCACAAGAAAGAATTGCCCGACATTCATTTTGACAGGAAAAATTATCTTTTGCAGAACATCTGATCATTGTTTCATGACCACAGATTGGATGTGTAACTTGCACCACAACCTGACATGGATGTTCATTACAGTTTTGACTACATCTCAGTGTACAAGGATGACCACAATCACGTTGTCTGGTGCACTTTGCTGGACAAGGACGATCGCTTAGATCTTCTGAGCAAGGAACACATACTTTATGTTCACAAGTAGGGTATTTCTTTTTCACCCTTTCCATGCATGGTCCACATACTTCATAGCATTTTTTCTGGCACAGATGTCCATCTTTACACCATCTCTTTAAACATATTTTCTGACACGGGAGTTTGTGAATCGAGTAGTCTGCATGACACTTTCTTTCACAGACATGACCACACTGAAGGTGAGTAGCACAAGGCTCATCACATCCACCGTCTTTGACATTCTCAAAATCCTCTGGACATGAAACGCTGGTGATCTTTTGGGGGTGATTTTTACACACTAATGATAAGCTTTTCCCAAGGACACCTTTTTCTTTTGCTTTTGTGATTATTTTCATCCAAAGATGGTTTCTGCGTTTATATAACATCTGAAAGTTTCCGATAGCATAAAATCCTTCCTTAGCTCTTGAAATTGCAACACAGATTCTTTGCGGATCTCCTAGATACCCTAATTTGCAGTCTTCGTTACTACGAACAAGCGATAACAAGATTATTCTATTTTCCTCTCCTTGGAAGTTATCAACAGCCGTGATATGAACTCTTTGGGTAGAGAACTCTCTTCCTATCACAAATTCTAATGCAATTTCAGAAACTCTCTTTCTTATCTTTCTCACTTGATCATTATAAGCAGATAAAATTGTTATTTCGGAGTTTGAATAACCCTGCAAAATTAGGTATTTGTATAGGTTGGCTATCATTTCAACTTCAAAGTCATTTGTGTAACTTGTAGAATGGTTCAGTTGGTTTTCTGGATTTTGATGATCAATGAAAAAGATGTTATGATTTATCCCTTTAATATCCTGGTACTCTAAAACAGTCAAATGGTCTTGAAGAGATGAATAAATTGCTGGATTCAACATGCATGATATTTCTGGCCTCATCCGATGCTGTTGTGTCAAACATTGAAATGGAAAACCATTCATGACGAGTCGCTCCATTAAAGAGACATCTGTGTTATATTGACATCTAAGATCATAGTTGTTCATTGTCGGGCGCAGTTGTTGGTGGTCACCGATCAAAATCAAATGCTGCAAATCTTTTGTTAAGCAGCCAAGAATGTGCTGCTCGTGAACTTGAGCAGCTTCCTCTACGACCACAATTCGAGGTCGAATCTCTCTCAGAAGTGCCATATTAGACGCCGCACCAGTCGTAGTCATTCCTATCATTTGACATGAGGCCAGAATAGAAAGATCACGTTTAAAGCGTTCCTGGCGATCATCTTGATTTTTCCTGCTGAAATGAGAAATTAAATTCTTCCTTTGATTTTGTTATTTCATTGATACTTGATGAATCCAAAACCTATAAAGTTTCCAGCGTTCGCGAAGATCTAGCTTCCATACGTTATGAATTCGGCGGGCAATGTGAATCGGCATGATATCATCTTTGTTTCGCAGATTTTGTTGAACATAAGACAACATTGCACTGCGTACTTTATAAGGAACTTGGCTCCAGAACTGATCAATGTTCCAATTTGCTTTCACATCATCTGGAAACAGGTGATCATCTGAAAGCACAAAAGAAGGGAGAATAGCGTCAAGTATTTCTTTCTCAAAATTATCATCGTCATCATCAAGAATCCTTTTTTGATTTTCTTGCAAAAATAAGTCATCTATTTCTATATCACGTGGTGCTTGGGCCACATTTCCATGGAAACCCACTGGTGCATTTGGTATGTATAACCAAGAAATAATAATAGCTTCTTTACACGGAACAAACCTCTCATGAAAACTGAATTTTTTTTCCAACGACCAAATATGTTGGGGGGATATTATGTTTTCATCCTTTAAAAACGTCGTTGAAATGATACCCTTTAGTAGATAGGAAAGAAAAGTATCAATGTACTTGACACATTTGGTGGAGTTTTGTACATGTCTCCTGCTATCACTCCAGTATCGTGCCTGTTTTCTGTATTCTTTCAGCATAATTTTTTTAACTTGCTCGTTTGCACATCTACCACCTACTCTCACAAAAGGCCACTCCTTTCCTCTAAACATAAATTGAAGACATTTTGAATCCAGTAATTTTTCAAAGAACTGATCGAGTGCATGGTTGGTGTAACTGAGAAGCAATATAGGTCGACTGCCGCTTTTTTCAAATCTACTTTTGTTGCTAAGTAAGAATTCCATTATTCGTAATCCCATCCATGTTTTACCCGTTCCAGGGGGACCTTGTAGAATACCAATTCTTTTTGTCAGACATTTTTTAAGCGCCTCATATTGATCTTTGTTAAGGCCCATTTCTTCCAATGTTGGCCACTTGTCCACATTGAGTATAGGAACCTCCTCATAAGAGGTTTTTGATTTTTGTTTTCCATATCGCAACAGGCATCCAAAGTCTGCTAGTCTCATATCAAAATTTTTTTTGCGTGTGTAAAGAGGTTCCAAAATGTCCTGTTTTAAATGAACCAAATACTTTGCGAACGGTACATTTTCATTTTTCTCTAGCATTGCAGATGCAAGAGCCTGTAGCGACTTCAGTGTGTGATCATAAACCATGTAGAAGGATTTACTTTCTATCATAACGAGGCGGCATTCCTGAACATTTCGCAGATTGTTAATACTTTGGACGTCATCGTTTAGAATTTTAAGCAACACTTTTCCATCCGTTAGTTGTTTTAGATCACGATTTGCAATCAATGCGTACACTAAGTTAGAACAGTCATCATAGGTTAAACACACAACATTCCCGTATTGCAAAAAATTACAACTTTCCCAACGAATCTTCTTGAACATCTTTATGTCAAATTGCACCTCTAGACCAACACCTGATCCGGGGACACATTTGTTGTCAAGGAGACGTATTCTTTTGTATATCCGGATATTATCGTCTTTAAACCTTCCCTGCGTGTCCTTCGAATTGACATATTCCATATAATTTCGGATCCCCCGGCGCAGTGGCCCGATAAAATCTTCCAAAAACACACTGAACTGATCAATCAGGTAATGGGCGGGACTTTTGTAAGGCACATTTAAGTTTCGAGGTAATATCGGGAGTGATTCGTTCTGGCGTATCATTTGTGCTGATGGTAAAATCGGCCAATAAACTAATCTTCGGAGCTCGTCTTTTATATCATTAGACAGAATGAACGGAATATCATTGTCATCTTTGAGATTTTCAAGCTGTTCTCTCTTTTTTAATATTTCAATAGCCCCTCTTATCTGGTCCTTGGCTATAGAATTATTGATGCATTCCATCCGAGAGAGTGGTCCTAGTATGGTCTTCGTGTATTTTGTCTTGATATCCTTTTGTTCTGTAAGTAAAATTACAAGTTTTACAATATTTTCAAGCCATTCTTCTGAATCACAACATGTTGACGTTAATTTTTCTGTGATTAGAACCAAAACATCATGTCTGCGGAAAAAGTCGTTTCTCTTTAAAAGTGAACATACATGGTCTTGTTCACTGTCAAGTAAGCCTGCTAGCATGCATACAATACGTTTGATATCATTTCCTTCTAATATTGGCGCATCAAGCATTTTTTCTACATAATTAAGTTCCACTGGCATTGTCTTGTCTTCCACATTAGGTTCGCTGTCTTCATCCATGACCTCGTCATCACTCCCGTTTTTATAATACTTTTGAGCCTGTTCTTCTGCGTACAGTGCATATCCGCGAAAATCGAATGGACTCCTCACTCGCCGTCGTTTTGTTTCATAGGGCGTACGATCAAATGATCGTCCTCTTTTTCGTTGTCCCATATTATGGTTTTGAAGAGTATTCCTACGTTCTGTAAAGAATAAAATTACAATTTGTTAGCGTTATACAGTATGTACATGACAAAATGCACTAGTTTTTAGTGCAAATAGATATTAAATTTGTCATACACTAAAACGGTTTTTTTTAAAAAATAATTTCTTCTAAAATACGTTGGGTTCATATGAATTGAAAATATACAGAGAATTTTTTACTGTCATCATATTTAACCTTTTTTCCAATATAATAACAAAGAGTAAACATATAAATTTAATATCCGTTTAAATTGAATTGAAAGACATTATAGAATCTGATACATCTGTTTCATACTTTGATATTTTTCCAGAAAAAAAGACATTAATGGCAAACTGTCTACAAAACGTTATGATAAACAGGATGACCAACTTTTCTATCGCTAACGTCCATTATTTATGTAGCAATATACTATTATCATCTGCGTTTAGAGTTTATTTCTCCCAGTTGACTGGACACGCAAGAGCTTTTCTACGTAAGAACAATTCTTAAACGAGGCAAGCTACTGTAAAATAAGTTGATGATATAAGGATATCAACATTCTCGTTTAAAGTCAACATTTTGCAAATTCTATTGCTAATACAATGACCTTGTCAGCAAATACAATATATCCTAAGTTGAATGTTGAACGAATTTTTTTTTTACACATTTCACACTGAAGTTCTTTTTATTATACACATTTTACACTGAATTGCGTTGCCCGCGTGGCGCAGTGGTTAGAGCTCTAGAGTCGCATAGTAAGGAGTTGATCCCACTGTGGGACCTGAAGACCGGTCCTTCGGATGAGACCGTATAAACCGAGGTCCAGCCTAGCAGTAGGTACTGGCACGAAAAAGATCCCTCGCTGCTCAATGGCCCTGAGTACAGATTTTTTCCGTTTGCCCGATCATGACAAGGAGCACACAGCGGGTGTGACCGGTCGACAGGATATGCTTACTCCTCCACGGCACCATACCCCACCTATTATGATTTTAGAGGTCCGTGTTTGCACTGTTTCCAATTTCTATTGTTATAGATATAGGTTATTGATATATCCTGGTGAGCTTGAGATAAAAGATACCACAGAGTCTGACACATCTGTTTCATATTTGGATATTTTACTTGAAAAAGACGTTAATGGTAAACTAACAACCAAGCTTTATGATAAACGTGATGACTTTAACTTTTCAATTGTCAACTTCCCTTACTTATGCAGCAATATACCTTCATCACCTGCATACGGGGTTTATATCTCTCAGTTGATTCGATACCAAGCCTGCTCTACGTATGTACAATTTCTAAAAGGAAGAAAATTATTGACAAGTTGATGAAACAAGAATATCAGCAGTCTTGTTTAAAGTCATCATTTCGCAAGTTTTATGGTCCATACAATGACCTTGTCAGCGAATACAATTTATCATTGAGTCAAATGCTGACTGACGTTTTTCATACTAATTGTTAGACTATTATTTATACACTTAATTGTCGACAGATTTTTCCGTTATTTCCTGATCATGACAAGGAGCACACAGCGGGTGTGACCTTCGGCAGGGGATGCTCACTCCTCCATGGCACCTGATCCCACCTCTGATGTTTTGGAGGTCCGTGTTTGCTCTGCTCCTATTTTGTATTGTTTAATGGACTTATGAGCTTGAATACTGTTCGTTATCTCCATATATTTCATTCCAATGGGCTTTGAGCTTGATTTCTGTTCGTTATCTTAATTAATTCAGTTTCATTTACTGCTCACAATGACTCAGTAACCCCTTCATTTTTTCTCCAAAGTGTTTCACTATTGTATTATTCAGTGATAATAAAATGTAAGTTACTGCTGTAATTAGACTATAGATTGAAAATATGATGTCTATATTCCACAGCGCTTATATGAGTGACCGTAGCCCTACTATTCTTCGCAAACATTTTCCCATGAAACAATTAGTGTTCCCACCGAAGGTTTTTTGACAACCACAACTATCGAATGTTTCAGTATACAAATGGCTAATTAAACTTTGCTCTTGTGGGGATTTTCCCCCAAACCTGCTGTGTTTGAGCCAGGTAAAATTGTCAATTATTTTTGTCCAAAGGCAATAATATTAAGTCGAAACTGCACTACTTGCTAGCAAACATATTCAATATATTTTATCAAGACCCTTTTTCTCTTAATTATTTCAGTGTAAAACTATGATCTTCTTATGTGGCCTAACCCTACCCCAGAGTCCACGATTTCAACAAATTCAAATCAATTTTTACTAAGGAAAATTTCTCATAAGTTCCTTCTTTTTATAACTCAGAGCTTTTTGAAAATGTTTTAAAACATACGACCAAACTTTCGTTAATACCCCTTGAAAGAAGGGTTTCTCCTCATTTGAACAAATCTGAATCCTCTTAAAACAAAAGTCAATAAAGAAGTTTGGTTGAAATTGGCCAAGTGGCTCTGAAGAAGTTTAAACTATGAATAGTTTAAAGACAACTCAAGACTCATGACAGACGGACGACGGGCATACTTCGATCATAAAAGCTCACTCGATCTTTGGCTCAGGTGGAATACCCAAGCAACCTGAAAGTTTTGATACACGACTTGTATATATCGTACAATTTTTTTTTATTTCTACGGACACCCGCTTTTGTAACAAGGATATTTAATTTGACCCCTTGTGTTTTTGCCAAAGTGAAAAGATTGTGTAATTTTACACGCCAACAAAATTCACAAAACTGAAAAAAGGTACTAGATAATAATAGTCTTCATAGATAAGTCTAACTTGATAAAGTCTAAACTATTCGTGAACATCACATATAGGAGGCGTAGAAAGGATGACTGCGCTTGACGCCGGGTTCTGGGCACTTTTTCGGTAGCTTATTTGAGTTTCATATTCTTCTATTAATTGTCGAAGAATTTGGGTCAATTTGGAAACAAATTTGTCAAAATGATTTTAGACTGTGATACAATAAAATAGTTGAGTATTCTCTCTCTCTCTATTTTCCATGTTGCACCAGTATTTACAGATTTCAAAACGAAATTAACAGCATGGTCACTTAAACATAGCGATAGGAACAGATGATCGTAAATCAATTTCTGATTATTTCATTTGTTCGAACAACTTTACCGAATAGCTCAATTGGTGATCTTACACGTCATGTGACGGAATTTAGTATTCACAAAGTTACATGTGGTAAGAAATCACGTGGTGAATTGTGATAGTCAAATAATGCTTACTTATGATAGAGAGAATAAATTTAAAAACAAGCAATATTTTGAAACCATGGGCGCATATTTGTCTATTGATCTCTTTTTAACACAAATACAAACTTGGATAACAGCAGACAAACAAGTGCTGCTATGCATTAAGTCGGTAAAAAATGAACGCCCTCAATATGGTATGGAGTTCAAGAAATCGTGTTGACCCCTTCCTATGAAAACGGATTTACAAACTTTTATTACCTGTAATTACGTAAAGTTGCAGTTAAGATGCTGACCATTCTTGTTATTAAAAGAAAACGCTCCTTTTAAAAGTTAATGTTATCGCAAATTTAAAATGAAGACATGATGTGTTTGTGAAACACTGATGCCCCCGTATGGCAGCTTATGTCGAAGGTTAAAGTTTCTTAAATGCAAGTCAAACTCCAAGGTCAAAGTCAAGAGATCAAAAATATTGTTTCCCCAAAAAAGGACTTGTGTCAATGGATATGCCTATTAAATATGAAAGCCCAAGCACCAACCATTCAAAAGTTATGGTCAAGGTTAATGTTTTATAAAAGTGGGTCAAACTCCGAGGTCAAGGACAAGGGGTCAAAATTAATTATACACATGGGAAGATTTTTCATAAGAAATACACATGTAAAATATAAAAACCTTAGCACTAACTGTTCAAAATGTATGGCAAAAGTTAATTTTTTCAAAAGTAGGTCAAACTCCAAGGTCAAGTTTAAAAGGTCAAAATTGTTGGTTTCCAAAGGAAGGTCTTCTCACAAGAAATATACCTGTGAAAGAACAAGGTTCGGTTTCAATACCAATCTTGCCCTGTGTTTTTCTTTAAAAAAAAGTTATGTAAAAAATTAAAACTCATGCTTTCTGAATCATCGAAATTCCATGCAGAAAGATCATACACATCATTTTTCTAACATGACTTTCTAAATGCTAATTGTGACGTCATAAACTTGTGCATTTTCCCGTATTTTCTTAAAAAGTTGCAGAAGACACCAATTTTCAATGGAATTTTCTTTCAGATAATATTGTCCACAGGCATCGCCCACAACGATTTTCAGATATGTGATTTTTCAAAGAATTTTACACAACATATCCAAAAATTAAAGTGGGCGACGGCTGTGGACACTATTTTCTTAAGGAAAATAACCCTTGAAATGGGTCATTTTGAGGCTTTTTCTGTTTAAAATAGAGAAATGCATCAAACTAATGACGTCATATTTCCAAAAGTGTACTTCTCCATGCCATATTCTTTCCTGATTTATCACAGTCATATACGCAACTAATATTTAAGCCAGTTTCAGAACTTTTTGAGAACATTAAATTTGTAGGGCACAATAAAGCTAAAACCGTACCTTCTTCTTTGAAAGCCCTAGTGCTAATTGTTCAAAAGTTATGGCCAAGGTTAAAGATTTAAAAAAAAAATGGGTCATTCTCTAAGGTCAAGGTCAAAAGGTAAAAAATATTTAAACCAATGGAAAGGTCTTGTGACGATGAATACACATGTGAAATATAAAAGCCCTAGCACCAACTGTTCAAAGTTATAGCCAAGGTTAAAGTTGGGTAGATTTTTGCAAAAGTGGGCCAAACTCCAATGTCAAGAGGTCAAATATGTTGATACCCAAAGGAAGTCTTGTCACAAGGAATGCATATGTGAAATATGAAAGTCATAGCTCCAAACAATCAAAACTTATTGACAAGATTAATGTTTTTGCGAACAAACAGATGGACTTCATCTTTATGTTTATCGTAGATATGAAATAATCAAAGTACTGAAAGTACTGGGAAGCG